ATGGTAAAAAAATTTTTTAATATTATATTTATCATGTCACAAAATGATACTCGTTGTGACTGAATGCACTTGAAGAACATAAAATTAGAATAGTTAATTCAGAAGCGGTGAAAAAAAAAAATTTGTTTCTAAGCTGCGTCTGACCGAACATTGATTTTTCTACTGACTAAAAAAGGTCAAGAAATTGTTTTACATTATCTTTATCGTGTCACAAAAAGATACTCGTTGTGACTGGATGCACTTGGACAACATAAAATTAGAATAATTAATTCAGAAGTAATGAAAAAAAATTTTGTTCAAAGCTGGGTCTGACCGAACATTTACTTTTCCACTGATTAAAAAAGGTCAAAAAATTTTTTTACATTATCTTTATCATGTAACAAAAAGACAGTCGTTATGACTACATGCACTTGAAAAACATAAAATTAGAACAATGAATTCAAAAGCGACGAAAAAAAAAGAATAATTTCCAAAGCTGCGTCTGACCGAACATTGACTTTTCCACTGATTAAAAAAAGGTCTAAAAAAATTTTTATTTTATATTTATCATTAAAAAAAAAGATACTCGTGATTGAATGCACTTGAAGAACATAAAAATAAAATTAGAATAATGAATTCGGAAGAGAGGAAAACCAAAATGATTTCCAAAGCCGCGTCTGACCGAACATTGATTTTTCCACTGATTGAAAAAAAAAGGGTCAAACAATTATTATACATGATATTAATCATGTAACAAAAAGAAGCTGATAGTGACTGGATGCACTTGAAGTTATATTTGAAATGCCTGTACAGAATTAAATTCCACCAAAGCGGCTCGGCATCGATCCTACAGAGTCCTTTGGCCTTACAGCCCAAGCCAATACAGTACACATGCACGCTCCAAGGGCTGTCCAGAAAACGCACGCCGGTGTACGTATATGCATCAGGAAGAGAAAAAGAGAGAGAGAGAGAGAGAGAGAGAGTAGTAGAGTAGGCAGGCGCGAGAGCGCGCGGGAGGTTGAGGTCGCATTGATTTTGTCTAGACGGGGTGGAGCCATAGGGGGAGAAGAGCGACGTGCTGCCGCTGTCGAGAGTCGCGCTACGCGCCTCGAGCCGGCTCCCTTGCCCGGCGTGCACTGCAGCTCGCGTTCGCGAGGACTCTCTTTCCCTTCTTTTTTTTTTTTCATCTCTACATTCGTATACGCGAGTTGTCGTGCATATATTATCAACTGTGTCGTCGGAACTTTTTGACCCCCCCCCCCTTTTTTTTTACGTGCTTACCTTCTCGGTTTCTTATTTCGTGCAACCGTGACTACTTGGACTACAGCACAGCGGCGAGAGAAAGCCGGGGTGGAAAAATGAGCACAGGGACGAAAAAGAAAGTGCATCGCTATCATAGTTCCAAAGGATCCAATCGCGCGAGTGCGTGGGTGTTGATCTTACCTTAAACGGCTTTGCACAAGAGATTCCTCGACACCTACAATTTAAAGGCCGGTAAAACGCAGCAGCAGCGAATGAATGGACGATCGCGTGGGCGTGAGCAAAGTCCCGGTTCGGAGGGGAGGGATCGATTTTTTTAGGTCTACATACGTGGGCGCAAAAGCCTCTGTGGAAGAAAAATAAGGGAGCCGTGGAGCGCGTGTGGGTGTGGGAACCCGCCGGTGAGTGGGTCTTTTTGGAAGCGTGCATCATGGAACTGTAAGTGCAGGCAGTGGTATACAATGGATGATAGGAGCAAGAGTTGAGGAAGACGCCGTATATATATATATTATACGTAGTGGAAGGAGCCTCGGGGGAATGTTGCCGTCGACGCTGATGAAGTTACCGCCTCCTTCTCCTCCTTGTACTCTACTGCTGCTGTTTCTTCTTGTCGAACGGCAAGTGAGTTGGGTTTTAATTTCGCTTGTATGTAGAAAATGGAGACGCTCGTGCGTGCGGGGGTGGAGAAATTTTGTATTTTAAAGTGATGTATGGAGTTACGCATGGGGTGTGGAAACCCGGCAGTCATTTTTTGAAAATTCATGGGTGAACGATTTTAGAGGCCAAAAGTAGTATTATTTTTACATATATACCGTTGTTTGATTGCAAAATCACGTTCTAGTGAATTTCGAGGAAGCGAGGCATAATCAAATTGTTGAAACATTCAATTTGTCCCCGTGAAGCTGTATCGCGTGACTCTCGATTGAATGAGTAATACGCGTCATTAGATTGCGTGCAAGAATGTAATACTCATGAAATTCACATGCGTGATTGTAATTCACGTCGTACTGTTTGCAAGTATGGAGTGTAATATAGGTGAGATTTTTTTTAGCATCGCATATCTTACCGACTGGTTTATGAATGGCACTAAAAGTCGTTGTGCCGCAGTGGCTATCGATTTTTCGTACGGCTTCCGCGTTAATCCGGCAGAAATTCACGATGATTTATCTCCGAGTGCTGTACGTGTGATTTGTACGTGGTATGCGAATGGAGGAGTTTTGAAAGCGCTTTTCGGGTATTGAGATAAATTCTGATTCGACGTGTTGTTGGATTCCAATTATTTTTTCACCAATTAAGTTGATGAAATCGTTAAGTTTTAAGGTAATTGGAGTGGGTATGGCGCCATATGGCTTGTGTGCAGTGTACGAAAAAAAATTTTTTAAAAACATATTTTAATACATGTGCCTTATTTATACATTTTGTCAAAACTCTTTGAGTATTTCCATTTTTTTTTTTTTTAATATTTAACCTTCAAATGTACGGAGCATCATCGTGTTTCAAGGAACAAATTAAAGTATACAAACAACATCACATAAAGAATATAAGAAATTATGTTTCATCTCTCAACTAGTAAGTTTTAAGTACCTGCAATCTTTGATGTAAAATACCTTCAAAAATCTTTGTGCTTGTATTGATTGTTATTTGAAATGAAATACCTACAACTTATCTATATTTCATTAGACTAATATAAGTTACATTAAGTCGATCAATTCACTAGAATAGTAAAAATTACATCTCAATTCATCTGTTTCCCGATTACACCAGAACGCAAATATATCGATGCATACAACTGTTGGTACCCCTCAAAAAATGGCCCTCCTTTAAATTAGTTGGATTTCAAAAATCCAAGCAGTAAACCATCAGGATAACTTACGTAAAAAAGAAAGAGACGCTTAATAGCATATTCGTACAGCGAACAGAGAAACCATTCGGGTGTATTCCGCAGAAGTGAAGGTTCAGCGGCCTCATCATTAGATCGACCGCGTTTGACTCGGTGCCCCGTAAAAGCCGCAAAACTATATATAAATATACTCTCTTGTCTCGCATTACGATTCCAATCACGTGCAGTAGAGCCCCGAAAGAGGGAAGAAGAAAGAAAGAAAAAAAGATGAATCGAAAAGCAGAGCGAAACACCAAGTCAGCCGCGATTGTCCCAAAGAAGCTCAAACAATCGGAGATAGAAAGAACTCGTTTCATTCTTCTCCTGGAAGAAAAATCCTCGGAGGGTTCCCGATAAATCAATTTTCTCGCGCGAGTCTCCGACAGCCTCCTCTCCCGAATAAACCACACCCCGCTCCCTCGCGAGAAAGAAAAGTAAGAAGAAACTTTGGACAAAAGGCCCTCCGCGAATCCCCATTACTCAACACCGACTCGTGGCTCGTGGCTCCGAAAATTACAACCACCTGAGTTTTAATTAAACGCCGAGCTACCCCCGCCCCTTCCCTACGGCGAGGGTATGACAACAGCAGTAGTAGTGGTGGTGGTTGTACAACTGCTGCACTGCCCGTTTGATTGTCGGTTTCGCGAGTCAAGCCACTTGAAATCGCGTAATTGCTCCGAGTTAATTCACTCGTAAAATGTGTAATTATCGAGAGGACGAGGCTACCCATTGCCATGCGCGCGGGCTCATCCCTCTATTATCGTAAATTGGGCTAATTATTGTACGATCGGAGAAATTCCTGCTATACTCGCTCGGGTCGCTCGTAATGGCACTATACGTTTATGTGAGTGTTTGTGGGTGAGATATACCCTGAACACGTACAGCAGTATTGCGGCGACGCAACGTCTCTATGGCTCTCTCAAAACGACTGCTCGGCGGCCGGCTCGTGCACACGTTATTGCTTGTGTTGCCGGCCACTGCTGATTTTATGTCGGTTTTCGAGGAAATCGCTCGAGCCAGGGGATCGCGGTATCGGTTGGACTTCTTGTATAAGATTTATTTCACCAGTCGACCCATTGATCTTGAATTGTCGTCAGCTTTTTAAATGTGAATACTTTTTTTTAGGACATAAATCTTTTTTTCAATGTCAACTGAATAACATGATTATATAGCTTGACTTATTTGATCAAAAAACCTGCGATTGAGCGAACAACATAATGGATTGTTTTTTCAAGCACTCAATGAATCAATAACTATTTTACAGATTGAAAAAAATTTTAAATGATATTCTCTCGACAGGTGAAAGTTGATAATTAGATTTTCGTCTCTTATTCGTTCATTTAATGTCAAAGATAAAGTAACATCTGAAAGAAAAACAAAGTACGATCCCAAATTATAAAACCAGCATATCGGATGACAGTTATTGTCAATGCGAGAACTCTTGTTGTCTCAGGACAAAAGGTATTGATCTTGTCTAGATGTCGATAGAGTCAGTAAACGATGAAATTGTCTTGGTATTGAATTTCAAGACAATGTCAAGATTTGGCAAAGCTATACTTGATACGGTACCGCTACACCCAGTTGAGCCACCTAAAGTATGTTGGTGTCTACGAGTTTGTTTTTCGTTCAATTTTTTTCTGTACTTTATTAATGCAAGCAAACAAAGAACATTTTTTTCTAAAATCTATTTTGTTCATTGTTATACGTTTTTTTGTTGATAAAATTTTTAATACCTTTTATATACATTTATCAAAAAATAATCGAATCAGTTCGTCAAAAGAAATAAATTCATTCACGCATACACATAATGTTAGATGACATAAAATATTTTACACTTATTTTGACAAGACAATAAACGATATTTGTTATTTTTCTGTTGCAGCTACACCTTCGACACCAGTGATGCCGGGCGGTACGCCGGGAACGCCATCCTCCAAAGCAAAGGTTCGTCTTTACTGATTAACAATAATTTATTAATAATAAATGGAATTTTTTTATGTTTTTGGTCAAGTAATTTCTATTCAGTTTCGTTACTGCAACGTTTTGTTCAATTAAAATTGGGTTTCATCAAATAATTGAACAATTAAACAAACAAAAACTAATCAATGACGAGTTCAAAGGTCTAGATGACTACTTTGACAAATAACTACGACAAAACGTAAACTTGCTAACGTAGAAACGGCTTTTAACGATTTCATTTTACAAAATACATTCCTATTTTTAAACGCTGTATCATGTGCTTTGAAAACTTTTTTTGTTGTTTTTTTAAGAAATTTATTACAAAAACAAAACTAAAAAGCATTTGCTCCATTTTCTTGTCCAATAATGTTTTAATATTCATTGCAAACACTACAACATAACTGTGCTTCCACTTGGTCAATTTCAATTATAATTTGCAATCTCGACGAATGCCAATCAACATTAAATGCACTGTAATTAAACAACATCTACATTCACGGACATAATTGGTCTATTGTGTCCATTATTCATTATTTATTCTTCACATTATGTCTATCAGGTGTATCATACATTTCACGAGTTTTCGTTGCAAAAATATTACCATAGTGCCATTTTAGTATAACCTTGACAACACAAATATTGTCCCATCTAAATATTACGCTTACTCACTCCCGCCGTTGTCAATGGACTATAGTTACGCAAAGACAATCAATTGTGCACGAAATTGTTTTCGCCTTATTATTAACACAATTGTTCCACTCGTTACCACGATAACGTGGTTTTTCATTAGAAGTCCTTCCCAAACTGTAAAAGAGAAAAAGAAGTCAGGGGCCTCCCATGAACTATGCACCTTGATTTTTAATAGTGATCAACATAGTTTTTTTCATTTTCATTTTTTAATGTATGGCTTTTAAACAAATTCTTAACTTACACTACTGTAACACATAATCGTTAGTTGATGCATTAAAAAAAGCACAAGTACTTGCTTAAAGTTTCATTGTTACCTAAATTCTGAAAAAAAACAATTATTTTGAAAATATTTTGATGCAAGATAAAAATAACTTAAAATTGTTTCAAGATATAGTACAATTTATTATTTAAGTCTTCAAAAAAATTAAAGTTTTTATCGTACAGGACTCATGCATTGCCTTTTTTAATTTAATAAATTGTATGAAATGAAAAAAATTAAAGAACATGAATTTTTTTTTACTTTTTCGAGTTTATTTACCTTCTTTGAAAATCTTCATCAAATTTTTAATATAGTAATGACATAATAATACAATTATCATTCACTCATCAACACTTGCTACTTATTATTAACTCATGTACATAAAACGATTACCGGCATACCTCGTTTCGATCTGTCAAAAAAAAAAAAAAAAAAATCCGCGATGTATGGTCTACGGCATCCATCAAATACACATAAAAAAAGCCAGCGTTGCAGATCTTACACGTTTGATCCATTAAGAGGTGATGTGGCACTTATTCAACTTGATACTGATGAATGATTCTGAGAGGAAAAAAAATTAATTGATATATCTTACGACAAATTTATGATCTATCACGTGCTCTATGTTTGATGTACTATACATTAATTATTATTAGTTGCTTATACGCCTCTTACATTCATTAGTCACTACTAAACTTGGGCATGGATTTTTTTTCAAATAACTTATTTCCTTAAAACATAATATGATACATTTTACTTAAAAACAAAATTAATTTTAAAGTATTTAAAAATTAACTTAAATCTGTATTAAAATACTTTGTAATTAATTTTTTTCTCTAGTAATACATTGCAGTTTTTTTTTTGGATAGAAAAATGTCTGCTAAGTATCGTACTATAAATAGTGAAGAAAAAACTTTCTAGCATAAAATAGTATCGTTTGAAAAAGTTGAAAAAAAAAAAACTTATTAAAGCATATCAACGTAAAAACTAGACATTTCGACTAGGACTTCTGCGTAGTCAAACTCTTAAAGTTCATGGAAGACCCCTAATCTCTTACTTTGACCAAAAATACAGGTTCCGCGAAGCAGCAACACCCACACGATCGTTTCTGTTGAATTCCAATAAAGAAACTGATTTCGCGCGCAAGTACCTACGCGATGGCAAACGAGAAAAATAAGAATAGCGCACATGCGTGCTTTTATCATACAGTACACGTCCATACGTGCCTCAGCTGTGCTAACGAGAGCGCACGTGATCTGAATCGTGAGTTGTGTTTCGTGCGAGTATCAGCCACTGAGCTATTATCGCAAAAGCCACCTGGACTGCGTGTTTATTTTACTACGTTGGATTTTTTTTGTCCCTTCTTTACCAACGTCAAAAATTAACCGCCCGCAGCTGCGAGAGACAAACCAACCAAATTTGTAGCCACTTGAATTTTATTTGAATAATTTTTATTTCAAACAAACGGATATATAACAATAACGTGGTAGAAAAAAAAGTTCTGTACAATTAGACTGGGGCACGGATACTTTTCCAACTTTTCTGAAATAAAGTTTTTTGATAAAAGTAAAGTGCATTGTATGTGCTGAAAAAAAATTATGTTTTAGTAATTATACAAAAATGCTTGAAAAGAAACTTTTTCCAGCAGAAATAATATATTACAAAATTGCACAGAAAAAACTGGTTAAGAACAAAAAATAAAATGTTTGAAAAAGTATTTAAATATTTTACAATGAAATTTAATACAAAAAATTTATTGCGCTTATCTGTGATGAATAGTGATGAATGACGAATTTCTTTAAAAAAATTTCTTTCAAAGCGTTTAAGAGAGCATAAAATAATTTTGCCCAAGTTATCAATAAATTATACAAAAATTACTTCCAGCGAGGGGAATGCAACATATTTTGAGCTTAAATTATAATTTTCACAAACAGGAAAAATTGATGATACGCAGCAAAGTCGTCGTCGCATTGTATCCGTTTCGAGCTATCGAAGGTGGCGACTTGTCTCTTGAAAAGGTGAGGTTTAGCCGAACATTTGTTAACCACCCAAATTACAAGACACTAACCCGAATCTTATCGTGTCCCAGGGCGCGGAATACGAGGTGCTGGACGATTCCCAGGAGCACTGGTGGAAAGTCAAAGACGAGCATGGGTAAGCGTCCCTCTGAATATATGCATATATTATGAATACATGAAAATGGTATGGACTCGGAGTCTCATTTTTCTACCGTTTTTTTTTTTCAGATCGATCGGCTACATTCCCAGCAACTATGTCAAGGAAAAGGAACTGCTCGGCCTCCAAAAATACGAGTGAGTATCCGACATTTTCCCAAATTTCACGAATTTTTAAAGAGAAAAAAAATAAAAAAATAAAATTGCCCCAACTGTCTATTTTCAAAGATGGTACGTGGGCGATATGTCGAGGCAGAGAGCCGAGTCTTTGCTCAAGCAGGAGGACAAGGAGGGCTGCTTTGTCGTGCGCAACTCGTCGACGAAGGGCCTCTACACCCTCTCACTGTACACAAAAGTGTAAGTACTTGAGAAACATATTTCCCCGCAAAAACTCGTGGATCCACGTTTCCTTGAACCCCGTACGATGTAAAATTTGTTCCCTTGCCAGACCTCACCCGCACGTGAAGCACTACCACATCAAGCAGAACCAACGGGGCGAGTTTTATCTCTCGGAGAAACATTGTTGCGGCTCGATTCCCGATCTCGTTAATTACCACCGGCACAACAGCGGGGGACTCGCCAGCAGACTCAAGGCCAGCCCTTGCGATCGACCCGTTCCGCCGACCGCTGGACTCAGCCACGGTACGTTTACGTTACATTTTTCTCGTTGCATGTATGTATGTATGTCTTTACATTTTTTTTTTTTTTTTTTTTTTTTTTTCGAATCGGCCAACAGACAAATGGGAAATCGACCCAGCCGAGCTGCACTTGCTCGAGGAACTGGGCTCCGGTCAATTTGGCGTGGTGCGAAGGGGAAAATGGCGCGGATCTATCGACGTGGCCGTCAAGATGATGAAGGAGGGCACGATGTCCGAGGACGACTTCATCGAGGAAGCTAAAGTCATGACGTACGTGTGCATACTTTTACTACAAGGAAACAAAAAAAATAAATAAATAAAGTTGTATGCGTTGATTATTAATCTTGGTTACTCGGGCAATTGCAGCAAATTACAGCACCAAAACCTAGTCCAGCTTTATGGCGTCTGCAGCAAGGACCGGCCGATTTACATAGTCACGGAGTACATGCGCCACGGATCTCTGCTGAATTACCTCCGTCGTCACGAGGCCACACTCGGATCCAATGTCGGATTGCTCTTGGACATGTGCATACAGGTGGCTAACCCTTTGCTCGAGTTTCGATAGAATCTCCAAAAACATGCGGTATATATAACCAACAATCTCTGCTTCTTCGATTTTCAGGTGTGCAAGGGTATGGCGTACTTGGAGAGGCACAACTACATACACAGGGATCTGGCTGCGCGCAATTGCCTCGTTGGCTCGGAGCACGTCGTCAAAGTCGCAGATTTCGGTTTGGCCAGGTAAATATATACACACACCTGCACGTTTGGTGAAAAAAAAAAAAAAAAAAAAAACAACAACAACAACATAGTCGACGATTGCAACGGCAAGTAAACAATATGATGTTTGCAGGTACGTGTTGGACGATCAGTACACGAGCAGCGGGGGTACAAAGTTCCCGATAAAGTGGGCCCCGCCCGAGGTGCTGAATTACACGAGATTCAGCTCAAAGTCGGACGTTTGGGCTTACGGCGTGCTCATGTGGGAGGTGTTCACGTGCGGGAAAATGCCATACGGCCGGCTGAAGAACACCGAGGTCGTCGAGCGCGTCCAGCGCGGGATCATACTCGAGAGACCCAAGGCTTGTTTCAAGGAAGTCTACGAGGTTCGTTGTTTTATCTCTTTGCCCAAGTAGTGCGAGCCGGAATACGGTCAGCCACCTACACTTGTAGAAATTGGTTTGAACGAGGGGATATAATTTTTTTTTTTTTTTTTTTTTCTTTCCTCAAAGAAATTATTCACAAGTAGCTCGTTTCGCTAGCAGGTTCAATGAAAAATGGCACTGATGTGATTTCACGAGTATATATATATACCTATAATAATGATTTGTTGTTTTTGGGGGGATGATGATGTACGGAGCAGGTGATGAGAAAGTGCTGGGCCCACTGTCCCGAGGTCCGGCCGTCGTTCCGCGTGCTCAAGGAACAGCTGATCAACGTGTCGCAGGGCCTGCTCAACGATTGACTTAGTCTCCTGCGGTGCTTACGTTTCTCCTCGCCGAGCTCCGCGGACAGCGGTCGCGCCATCACCTCGACGACAAACAACAGCAGCGCCACCAGTACCATCACGAGCACCAGCAGTACCAGTAGCATCCACCAGCAATTACCGGTTCCTCGGTCGCCCTTCCTCGAGCGCGGGGGCCTCCTGGCCGGCATCTCCTCGAGCCTCGGCACCACCTCCTCGTCGTCCTACAACTCGGCCACGCTGCCGTCGCGCCGCGCCAGGAGCAACGCCTCCCTGCCGAGCGCCGCCGAGCTCTTCCAGCTCTCCTCGACCCTGTGCCGGGTGACGGCGAGGCGTGGCTCTCGCGACAAGTTGCGCTCGACGGCTAAGCGGGAGAGCGGCACCTCGAGCGCCAGTCCGACGGCGCGGCAGCACCACGAGCAGTTGGCCGGCAAAGTGGTCGAGCTCCAGCGCGAGGAGATGGCCAAGCACCTGCAACACCTGCAGATCGCCGGCAACGACGACGCGAAGCCCCTCATCGCTTCGCCGAGCGTTTGCGACATTTGTAGTTCCTACGGGCACCCGTGGATCGAGATATGCAAGGCCATTCGCGCGACCAATGGCAAGTGATTGCGAACGACCGGTACTGCTTACACCGGCCGGCCCGATGCTACGCCGGTCTCGTACGATACTCATTTCGCACAAGTGTGACTTTTTTTTTTTTCTTCTTCTCCTCCTTTTTTTTCGCCCTCAACTCAGCTCGGGGCTTTGAAACATATTGTGCGCGAGATGCGAGAGCGTGTAGTTTTCATACTTTTTTTTTTCTTTTTTTTTTTTTGAGCTATCGAAGGTGGCGACTTGTCTCTTGAAAAGGTGAGGTTTAGCCGAACATTTGTTAACCACCCAAATTACAAGACACTAACCCGAATCTTATCGTGTCCCAGGGCGCGGAATACGAGGTGCTGGACGATTCCCAGGAGCACTGGTGGAAAGTCAAAGACGAGCATGGGTAAGCGTCCCTCTGAATATATGCATATATTATGAATACATGAAAATGGTATGGACTCGGAGTCTCATTTTTCTACCGTTTTTTTTTTTCAGATCGATCGGCTACATTCCCAGCAACTATGTCAAGGAAAAGGAACTGCTCGGCCTCCAAAAATACGAGTGAGTATCCGACATTTTCCCAAATTTCACGAATTTTTAAAGAGAAAAAAAATAAAAAAATAAAATTGCCCCAACTGTCTATTTTCAAAGATGGTACGTGGGCGATATGTCGAGGCAGAGAGCCGAGTCTTTGCTCAAGCAGGAGGACAAGGAGGGCTGCTTTGTCGTGCGCAACTCGTCGACGAAGGGCCTCTACACCCTCTCACTGTACACAAAAGTGTAAGTACTTGAGAAACATATTTCCCCGCAAAAACTCGTGGATCCACGTTTCCTTGAACCCCGTACGATGTAAAATTTGTTCCCTTGCCAGACCTCACCCGCACGTGAAGCACTACCACATCAAGCAGAACCAACGGGGCGAGTTTTATCTCTCGGAGAAACATTGTTGCGGCTCGATTCCCGATCTCGTTAATTACCACCGGCACAACAGCGGGGGACTCGCCAGCAGACTCAAGGCCAGCCCTTGCGATCGACCCGTTCCGCCGACCGCTGGACTCAGCCACGGTACGTTTACGTTACATTTTTCTCGTTGCATGTATGTATGTATGTCTTTACATTTTTTTTTTTTTTTTTTTTTTTTTTTTTTTTTTTTTTTTTTTTTTTTTTTTTTTT